GAAAAACGCCAAGAAACAGTGATCTCGATTTGACATTTTTCACCCCAAGCCCAAGACATTCTCGCGTTGCGAATTGTTTTCGTTTGGTTTGGAGTTTAAGTTGGAGTTAAAATTCCTCTATAAACTTTCTTTTGTGCCTCCCTTCGTGTATAGCACCTCATTAGGTTAGCATATACTGCCGCATTACCAGAAAGAACATCTGAAACGCTTTCCGGACTGCCGAATGTTTGATTGATAATCGGAAAAAAATTAACATATTTCAAATTTCGTGACTTTTATTCGACGAACCGTTTGAAATTTCATGAAATTTCACTTTCCACCTCTGAATGTTTATAAAACATACTTTCAGCAAAGATCATGATACCTCACTTAGTCGCTTCTCTCCACTGCGATCCCGGTTTCCATATGCGGTTACGAATAATTTCTTTCTTTACCCGATGAACTCATTGGGGGCTACTTTTATGAGACTAGGAGTTTACACCTGTAGTAGTAAACTGAGATTATTAGGAGTAAAATAAACTATTGTGGAAATATCTCGGGGCTGGATTAAGTAAACTTGTGTTGGTTCACGTCCACAGTTGTGCATGCTTCAACTAGGCAACTAAACCAACTCTGGAGCAAAGCGTAAAGTATCAAAGAATTTGAAGGCACTTAAAGTCGAGTGTTGTGGCCCCGAAAAAGGGATTCCATGCTTCTTTTCAAACACGATTTCGGCTCACAACAAAATTAGAGCTATCACTCTAGATAGAGTGCTGTCTAGTCACATGAGGTTTTAGTTAATGATTTTTTGCAGCGCGTGCTTAAAATGTTTCAGAAAATAAAGGTGTTTTGGTGGGATGGGCCGAAAGAAAAATAATTTCCTTCGGAATCGTTTGCGGCTAGAGGAGTTACTTTTTCTCGGTGAGTATGATGAACACTCATTCAAGTCGTATTAAAAGTTTTCAATTTCCTGAGTTTCCACATTGAGCATTTTCACTATCGTCTCATCTAATTTCACCATTCTCCGTCAATTTTACCTCCTAATTTTTTATGGGCGGAATATTTGCGGTACAGCAAGTGCAAATATTTTGATTCAATACAAAAGGAGGCTTTTCTCGAAAACTTCGCTCTTTTGGAGCACTTTTTGAGGTTCCAAAAATAAATTGATTGGAACATTCTAGAATTCAATGTCCCAGGGTCGGACTGGCTCACATCTAAGGGGGGGGACCCTTGCCTGATTGAAGGGGCGTAATGTGATATTTCCTGATGGAGCATCTCCTTCGTGGAGAGGGTCTCAGAAAATTTTGGCAAAGCAGCACAAGTTTATGCTATTTTCAGGTTCAAAGTTTATTAATCGTAAAGAGTACAAATTGTAAAAATGAACGTATTTAAGTGACCGAAAGACCTCTAGAATTAAAGAAAACATAAAAAATTAAAGCCACCAGGCGCATCCAAGCACCATTGTTTCCAAAAGAACCGAGCCAGTGCTGCGGTTTACACGATCTTAAGACGCGGGTCTGCAAATCCATCCTAAAAAAGAATCAGACAAGAACCTGAAAAAAAAAACGAGTATCAACACAGCCGACGACAAGAAAGACGTATTCGGGCCTCTTTTTTTCTCCCGAATCTGAGCGACACTTCATTGGCAGCATATTGCAGGGCATTGAGAACTCACGCTTCGCGTCATCGCGCCTTCAATTTTTCAGATGCAGCACGGACGTCCATCAAGTACGAATAGTTGTATCTCTGCGCCGTTGTCAACGCGCATCCTTTCCCTCGCTTTATTTCCATATTGTGTTTGTTTGCGTTTGTCTTATTCGTAATGGTGCTTCAAGCACTACGTGAATAACACAGCCGGAGGTAGGATAGATGTGTTCGGGCCTCTTTTTTAACTTTTCACCCGAATCTGAGCGACACCTCATTGGGCGATCACCTTTTGGGCACGGTTCTGAAAACCGTTTTTTAGGCACAAACCGTTTGTTGAGCCATAGTTCAACAAACGTAAGACATTATAACATTAATAATATAAAATGCACCGTATCAGATTCACTTTATTTCATATACTGTCGAGGCGCTCTGTTACTGCCAAAGTTACTTAATTTTCTTCTTTACTCCGTCAACCCGCTGGTATTTTATGCCTAAATGCACTTTCGCGCTTAGATAGGTCTTTTATGCCTACGCTTTGATAGGTCTTTTTTGCCTAAATGCACTTTCGCGCATATGACATAGTTAGGTCTTTTTGTGAGACATGGTGGTGCAAGATCATTACATAAACTCGACTTACGAGGTGTGTAGTTACAGGAGTACTTGCACACTTTGTCTTGAAATTACTATGAATTTCGATAATTTATGCATTGTATGCATCTTGAAATTACTATGAATTTTAATAATTTATGCTTTTTTGCATCTTGAAATTACTATGAATTTCGATAATTTATGCATTTCTGCATCTTGAAATTACTATGAATTTCGATAATTGTTTTTGCTTATCACATGCAACTCACATCAATTTTTCAATTGATTTATGAATTGCAAGGTTAAGTCTGAATTTATCTGAACTACGGAGGTACTAGACCACTTGCGCAATTCACATTAATCGTCAAAGTAAATCTTATGAACAGTATGGAGGTACTAGACCACTTGCATAACCATGTTCATAGAAAATTATTGAACAATAAAATCATCACTCCGAAAATTCGAATTTTTAAAAGAACTTTTTAGGTTAACTTCTTCCAGAACAAGTTTCAAGAAGATTTTTCATTATTGTTTTAATCACGTCGGGGTCACCATTTTGTTGCGTACATTTAGCAACAACCAGAACTATTTAATAACTATTCAACTTCATAATAATAATATTCATAATAATACTGTGGATATGACTTTATTCACACGGGTTTATAGCGTTACAAAGCGTATGTATATAGAACTCTGTTACCACGGTGACATATCTGGTTGAAGCTTAATTAGCTTTAACAGCAGCATATCACAGAGCATTGAGAACTCACGCTTCGCGTCATCGCGCCTTCAATTTTTTAGATGCAGCACGGACGTCCATCAAGTACGAATAGTTGTATCTCTGCGCCGTTGTGAACGCGCATCCTTTCCTTCGCTTTATTCCCATATTGTGTTTGTTTACGTTTGTCTTATTCGTAATGGTGCTTCAAGTACTACGCGAATAACACCGCCGAAGGCAGGAGAGATGTCTTTGGGCCTCTTTTTTAACTTTTCACCCGAATCGAAGCGACACCTCTTTGGCAGCATAAAGCAGAGCATTGAGAACTCACGCTTCGCGTCATCGCGCCTTCAATTTTTCAGATGCAGCACGGACGTCCATCAAGTACGAATAGTTGTATCTCTGCGCCGTCGTTAACGCGCACCCTTTCCCTCGCTTTATTTCCATGTTGTGTTTGTTTCCGTTTGTCTTATTTGTAATGTTGCTTTAAAGTAGAGCAGAGCATTGCGAGTTCACGACACACGCCATCACGTCTCACATTTTTCATATGCAAGTGGACATCCATCTTGCGAGAATAGTTGTATCGCGTTTACACTTTACATGTCTCTTACTTTTGAATTTCGAAATAAATTAAGGTTAAGTTTGCCCGAGATATGCTATGATATGTCCAAATCAATAGTCATTTGAAAAAGAAGAAATATGTTCAAAGGTCTTTCAAGAGTCTATAAAGGGTGCGTTCGTGTAAAAATCGAAACGACCATCGCTTTTAAGGGTGTTACACACAGCGAAAGAAGGAGGGGGATGATAAAGCGCCTGTATGTCAACAAAAAGGTGAAAATTTTACAGAAAAGTGTTCACGCTCAAGAAAGTAGTTCTTGGACCTCTGTTCATCACAATCATGCGTAAAAGCACCTTCCTTTACTCCCAACTCTCCCTTCTTCCGTTCATTTAAGACATTTTCCGCATATTTTCTCGGCCGTACTTTTTTTCTGTTCTTATTTTGCTATCTGTCAGAAGGGCGCATTTTTGGCGCGCCGAGGGGGCGTATCTGCCAATGGCTGATTGGCCTTATGGCCAGTCTGAGCCTGCAGCAAGTGCAAATATTTTGATTCAATACATAGGGAGGCTTTTCTCCAAAACTTCGCTCTTTTGGAGCACTTTTTAAGGTTCCAAAAATAAATTGATTAGAATAATTTAGGAGTCAATGTCCTGAAAATTGCTAGCTATAGGAAAATATTGATTTTCTCAGTCGCTTTTGCTTGGTAAAAAACGGCACAACTCAACTCATAGGAAAATTTCGCGTGGTTAGCACAGTATTCCTCAAAGGATATTCCGAACACTCTTTTTTATACTTCAATGTAGCCATATTTGCTGGGTACTGTTATCATTCGTGCTCATCGCAAAACGCGTCTTTCGCCTATTCTGCCATGCTAAGGAGGAACGGTGTATGAACCTCCAGGCTTTGACAAATTTCTTCTGATGAAATATGAATTTATTAAGAAAATCGTGAATATATAATTTTTTTTTTGAATAATGCAAGACATGGTAAATTGGAGGATAGAGGTATCAGACTCGTGCCACTATTTCCGAGTTTTCCAACATTTTTTTGAAGTAAGGTAAGCTTTTTTCAACTGAGGCCTTATATTATTATTACTTATAAGAGAAATTTGTGGAAAAATACGAGACATGGAAAATTAGAGATTAGAGATGTCAGACGTCGTGTCACTATTTATGAGTTTTTCCACACTTTTTTGAGGTCTCCAACATAAACGATTTCGAGAGAAATTGAAGGAAAAAATTGTACAGCATAGGTTCGTCGGTATCGCAGCTTGAGCTAGCGTGCGTAAAGCTGCCAACTATAAGCTCGCAAGCTCACAATAAAAGCAAAAGTTTACATCCACGGTACGAGACGCCAGAGCGACACTAGCGCTCTCACGGCAGCGCGCGAGAGGAGGTGGTAAGAATTTGAACTAATCGCCGGTGCACCCCCACTCCAGCGCGGCTCGTAGGAACAAGAAAGATAGAGGAAGAAAAAGAAGAAGAAAGGAGCGAGGGACTCCGCTCCTCATTATCTACAGCTGATTCAAACAAGTCACAAACACCGTGATGCGCTGCGTGCGCTAACCAACATTGGACTCAATAGCTTGTTTGTAATCACTGTTTAATGAAATTGTAGTATTTTATTTAGCTGTGATCTAAAAAAGTGTTTTCGTGATCTCTCTAGTGTTTCGTCTCGTCAAATCGGGGATTCTTACTTCGAAATTTTCATCGGAATTCCGCCTCCAACTCGGTCTGTTTGTTTTTTTCTTGCCGGTGAATCAAGTGCACAGGATTTTGGTGAATCTACATACAACACTCACGTTTTGAACTCGTTCGAAATTGTGCTCTCAAAGTGATTCCAATTCATTTACATTTGTGCGGACGAATCGGTTTTCTGGATTTTCCCTTCGAATCATCGGTTTCTGAAAGTGTCTTCAACCAATCTAACGTTCTTCTCATCCCTCAACTGAAGTTCTCGCGCAAATCAGTTCGAAATCATCATTTCGTCTCTTTAAGTTTGGATTGTGTGTTAAAATTATTCGTCATCCTTCTGACCCAATGTGTATGTGTGTGTTCCACTCGTATAAATTGGATTTACCTGTGTATGATTCTGCCTGCAGCAACCACTTTATCGCAATCTTTTATTTCAAGGTAAGGACGACGAATTTTCGTAATGAAAGTTCCCCATTTTTCATGAAAATGAGGCACATTATTTTAATTTAGGCTTTGTATTTTGTACGCCCTCCACGTTTTAAAATCCAAAACTCTTCTCACTTACAGCTAGAACCACGTGAGCCCGCATGTTTGTACTATTTTCACCTAAGCTAGATTTTAGTAGTATTGATAAATTATTTTACTACATACCACGTATGTAATCTCACATCGTCCACTCATAAAACTTCCCTGAATTCCTGTCGATGAATAAGTATGACCCTGAAACTCTATAACCGGTGTACGTTTGTAGCTCCTTTGAACATATTTTTAGTCTCTGTTATCATACACATGAGAGCGTTGGCCATTCTCAGAGCATGCTGGAATTATTGAATCTGTATTTGAAGATTCAGGTGCCTCACCATTCCAATTTTGTTTTAGAAACAAAGATCATATTTCTCTATGCTCTGAAAAAACTAGGTATCTTCCTAAATTTACAAACTCCCAATTCATTGTCTATCAGCTGTATGGGGAGTGGACGGGGGTGAACAAGTTGTTCGAAAGCAAGTCGAAGTACACATACTTACTCTTATTATCTACCCTTGTAGGACTTATTCACTGCATGGTGTGCATTTTGGTAGTTTAATTATTTTCTCATACAAGCCTCTGGTTAGCGAGAGACGATCGTGAGTTTTTTTTAAAAATTAATTTTAAGCAAAATCCCAACCTTTGCAAGGTAAAGATGATAAAAATTGATGTCGTGCTCTTCATGTACCATGTTGCTACGAATTTACGACTTACTGTTCGAGAGTCATGTGATTCAAAGCATGTAGATTGTAGGTGTTAAACTTTTTCTCCATTTCAACAAAATATTATGTCCTTGGTTCAGTCATTTGGAAAGGGATTCGGAAATTCAATTATCGGAAGATTTCAATCATTATCACAATTGATCGTGCTTCCCCCTCCCCCCTCCAATAGCTTTTTTCTGAGTCCACAATCAATGCATTTTTCCATATGGGTTATAGCTGGGAGTGCTGTGCGTTCCTAAGTGAGCTGGCAGATAAAATAGCTCCTCCAACGGCTTCTGCTGGGCCCATTTTAATGAGGAAGTCAACATTTCTCTGTCCACCCACTCTTATCATCACTGAAACCAATATGTTGCCAGATTTAAATTGCCGAAGGGCTAAGTGTATGGTTAACAAGTGGAAAAATTCAACCAACGTCAGGCCTTGAGAATAGTGCTGTAAATGCATTTTCTCCCGGTCGAAAAAAACTCAACCTTTCCCCTCTAATATGTTTCCAAATTCACAAAGATTGCGAATTTCATTATTATCACTCTCATCACTAAAACGTGAGATTTCGATAAATTAGCGTATGAAGTTGATAAACGCTCGGGAGCTTATGAAATTGCATAATGAACTTCGAGCAAGAACAACATTAGAGCGAAAAAACGAGTTAAGTATGGTGTTCAACTTTTCTCAAAGAAATTGCATCTAATTTTTTTCAATTTTTTTATGAAAGGAGTGTCATGCGACTCTTCAATTGCCAAAAGATGGAGCGTACGTTTGTTCCAAGATAGCAACATTCTTTTTTTCACACGGAAACGACAGCGCATTACTTTCCGTCCCTAATTTCGATAATAATCAAGAGTACTTATCCAGGTGAAAAATCTGTGAAATTTTCGCGAAAAAATATCCAATAATTTCAGAGAAAAACTGAGAATAATGAGAGGAAATTTTGGCAGCGTTATAATGTTGATACGTTCTTTCGTTTGCGAAACGACGATCTGTGGCACTTATTTTCCCACGAAACAAGTGGATAAAAATTCCGTTAATAACGATAAGACTTTTATTTTTGAAAGTTGAGTTTCTCAAGCCTCGAACTTACTTTTCAAGCTGACAGTTTCACGAAAATCGAGTTCCTCTGTTCTTATCGTCGACTGATGCGTATTGTAATGAAACGTGTCGCCAGGTTAATTACTCGTAATTCGGGAGTTGCCCAGTTCGGCAACGTCGCGCTAACCATTAATAACGTAATAGCTTATCCGAATCTCGGGCCAGTGGTCAAATTTTCGGAATGTGATAAGTACACTTCCTGCACCGCGTGCGTGCGTGGAAGTACGCGAATCGGTGGTGGTAAACACCAGTCACGAAAACAATCGAACCGACCACCTTACTTAATCCGTCTGATCCCGATATCTTGTCCCGGCAGCTTCCGTCTTATCACTGTCGCAAGGTTGTGGAATTGAACGATTGATCGATTTAAATCGATTCCGCGCCTCTGCGAACTGTATGAAACTTATTATAGATGTTCCTTAATCATCTTCAAGTACTTGAACATTGGTAAAAAAAAGTCTTTTCACTGGGAAAAAAAAAACAAATTGGATCTAGAGTCCAGACTCTTAAAAACATCGACAAGAAAAAGTACTCTTGATTCAATCAGAATCTAGCTCAAACCAAGAACCAAGCTTCTTAATTTAAGCGGATTTCGTTTTGATTCAAGCAAAAATCCGATTGAATTAAGAGTATTTTTTCTTGTCAACGTTTTCAAGAGTCTGGACTCTAGATCCAATGTGTTTTTTTTTCCAGTGTTGGATGCAGAGTCCAGGCTTTTAAAGAACCAAACAAGAAAAAAAAAATATTTAAGGAAAAAACAATAATAAATTGAGGAAACTCCTCCTGGTTCAAACGGAGTTCCTTTTAATTCAAGGAAAAATCCGATTGAATCCAAGGTATTTTTTTCCTTGGCAACAATTTTTTTCAAAGTTATGCCTTTAGATCCAAAAGACTTTTTTTTTCCAGTAAAGAGGCCCAACAGCATAGTTTATTCAGTGATTAAGGGAGGCTTAAGTACGGTGATCGTTAACCTAGCATTAAGAGGACGATCTTTAAGAATCTCGAGTAAAATTCAACTGAAATAACTTCTGAAATAGGTCACTCCAAAGGATGGTTATGACTTGCTATTGCAAAAGGGAAATTATCTGAATGAAAAGGCGCTATTATTTTGACAAACCTTAGGTAGACAACAACCTGCCTTAACATTTCCAAAACCTGCGAAAACTTCTCTCTTATGTTTTAACTTTTTGCAGCAGTACACTATCTGGACGTATTTATGCTAAAAGAAACTATATGCATAGGGTCTCCGTGGAACATAGCTCCTTATTGCCTAAACACGTCCATTTGAATCTCTTGCAACGGTCTTATTCCGAGGATATACCGTTGAATTTCACTCGCTAATCGTTAAAAATACTATAAAGCAGGCAGCGTTGTTTTCGAACACTCCAAATTGAGAGGAGCGCTTCCTGTTGATGATGTGGGAGTTGTGTGAAGTTGCTACGAAGTCAAAAGGTTCTGATCTTCTGCTTTATCATTGACGCCCGTAAATAAACTAATCTTCGAATTTACAATTTGTTGGAATAATATATCCCAGGCGGTGGAGTCTGCAGGTCAACTAGGTAGAGGTGCGCTCGAAGAAAACAGATCGAGTGATCGTAAAAATAGAATAATACTGACGTAAATAAATCAAATCTTCGTTTACGCTTATATCAACAATCGTCAAATTTAAATGCTTATTATTACGTTTTATACGGTTGATCATTTTTTTTTTTCATTTTATGCGTCGTTTCGTTCGCAGAATTTTAGATTTTTCAATGAATGAAGCAGGTCGAAAGTTGGGTTCTTTCAAAACAGGCCAAGGTTTGGTTGCTAGTTTCATTTCTCAGCGGCCAAAGGCGATTTCTTACCGGCAAATCGATGTTTGGCCGCCGTGTGTTTCAACATTGTAATAGCTGTCCTTTTTGGCCCTTAAAGCTCTATGACCTGACCTAAAAGTTACCGAAATGTTTGCACTCTCTCACTGAAAAAAAAATTCTCGGCGTTTTTACCAAGGTCCGTTGGTACCTTTACCATCTCACTTTTTTTGCCAATTATTATAGGTAATTTTACCAAGACACACCGGTAAGCTTACCTAAAAACCGGTATTTTTACTGTTTTTTTCAGGTAAGAATACCACTTTTATCGATAATCAATGCCCGGTAACTTTGCCATATTATCTCGGTAGTTCTACCACAATCGATAAAAAATATTGGCGTTTTTACCAAGGTACAGTAAAATTTAAATTACCAATTCCATAAATGGTAATTTTACCAAGAAAAAACTGGGATCAAATAAACCCTGAATTCTCGGTAATTTTACCCTTTCCTTAGTGAATGCACCGAGATTTATTTTTCGTGTGATATGTAGATATTTGGGTCATCGTCTCTGGTGAGACCAGCGACTACCGGCGCTGAATTCGACGCAAACGCGGTTTCAAACCCGAGAAACTAGCCACCGTCGGGAGCGAGGCAGGACCGCCGTCCCTTCCGACGGAAGTGTCAGGTACTCGGATGTGGAACAACGAAGACAGCCGCAGTTCCAGCAAGTCGCATGTCACATCTGGAACGCAACGGGACCTGCCCCGCAACCGGTAGCCGAACACTGTTTTTTTTTAAAATCCCGGAACGGCCTCCAGGTCACAACCGCGTAACTCCCTACAGGAATCGGCGGTGCATACGCGGTTCTGGCTCCGGAGCACTCGGCGTGGGTGGCGCTAACCGTCCGTTTCCAGTAATGGCGTTTCTCGGTTCCTCGGCGGATCGCTTTGGAAAGTGTTTTTCTTTTGTTCTCGCGGCACCATCATCCGCTGCCCGATCGGGATCGAGTGGGCCTTTGAGCCGTCTTCATAGAAGGCAGTGTTGCCAGATTGTGGATTTTAATGGTAATTACAGTCGGAAATCCCAGAGAAAGTCAGGATTAAGCTAGAACCAGTAATCGAAACTCCAAGGCGCCAAATGCGCCTAAAAAATCGGCCATGGCGCCTAAAAAATGAAGGCTCTGCGCCAGCGTGGCCCCTAAAAATTGCCCCCTGAAAATCTGGATTTTCACAGGAAGTCACAAAAAGAAAGAAAAACAAATCTATTTTAATTGAAAAAACTCAGAATTTTCAGCACCACAAGTGAAAGC